AAGGCTCGTATTTAGTGAATATACTGCGACTGTAATCAGCAGCCCCGAAGGGAAAACTAGTTTTGCTATTTATTCGTCCGGCAGTGATATATTGTTGGCTGATAATCCAATTACCGGACCCATTTTAAACCCCTAAAATTATAGTTTGCGTGTTGAAGAGAGATTAAATCAGAGCGATTGGGACAGAAATCTATTGATCGTCCACCTTTACGACTCCACGAGATAATCAGGGTTGCGGCTGTATTTCAACTCAGGTGTTCTCACATCAGCGGTAAAAAGTAGCGCACCCGTGAGCGCAAACAAATTAGTTTCACCAGCTGGAAAGGGGTGGGTCCGTTTTAGCAGGCTCTCTTCACGCCTGTTTTTTTCTTTCAAATGTCATGCCTGTAGGCTCACCGAAAGGACTCACTAATTTTACCTGGAAATGCACCCGGCCAACTCCCTCGGGTATATTTACTGGAAAATTTCGTCGGACGGGCCCTTTTATCAGTCCGTATTAGGGCCACCTTTTTGCAGTGTGAACAGGCGTGAAATTGCGCATTGAAAATAAAAAAGAATGAATTACTCGGACAACTGTATGATCAAGCCCATTGTGGAAAACTGTGCACTTTGATGAGTTTTGGCTTTCGATCTAGACCACAGTGGCTGAAAAAGGCAAGGGAGCAGAGAGGGGTGCGTGCTGTTCCGAAAGTACGAGATGTTATCTCATCGTCAGGTCCAGTAGGGTTGGCCGATGATAGTGTTGACTCTGTTCATAGGACGTTTCAGTCAGAGAGATCTGGAGCACGCAATCTTCATATAACATCGTAACTTACCCAGAAGGACACTTTCCTACTGAACAAGAGAAAGTGTTTACAGTGTTAGAAAAAAAGTCGATTACTGGAAACTTTACTTCGAAGAGGACACGAGCTTGTGACAGCTTTTTAAAAACATAATTCAGTAGCATTAGCGAGGAATTTTTTCGTGTTATCTGAAACCCATTAGACAGAGCTACCTTCTTTCGTCTAGGTTTCGATAAGCATAAACAGACAATTGCGTTTCGTTATATTGCAAGTGTACTTATTCGTAATTTAGGTCCAGGTAAGCATTAAGGTTTCTGTTAACAAAAGACTAACTACTGATTGCAATACAAGTTTACGCTCTACTAACTGACTTTTACTTAAATGAGCTGGATCTTTTGACCTAGGAATTTTATATTCACAATGAGGGACAAAGTTTACAGATAGCTGCACTTATTTCCTGCAAAATGGGCGAAACTATGCTCCTCCTAAAGGCATACGCAGGCCTTTCACATGTGAATATAGGTTTAGTCTGGTGAAGTGGAACCGACAAAGACTAAGAAGACCGGAATGGCCATTTTTGGCGTATTAGCCGCCATTATTTAGCCATATCCAATCCCAGGGGTGTGATGAACCCTTAATTGAAGCTGCAGTTAGATTTTCCACTAATAACTCAGCATAATTTGGAAACTTGTTCGGCGCTCGTTGGGGTTAGATTTAAAACTTTACCTTTTTCCGTTTAAATACGAAGTCTAAAAAGTAAGACTATTTCCTCCAACACTTTTTCTTTA